ATTCTTTATTACATATCTATATTCCCTTTATCAATCACCCCATCTGATAAAAAATATCGATTAAACTTATATAATGTTTATTGGCAAGATATGTTTTTAAAAGAAACTGTGCCATTAGAATATGATTGTTTGTATTACGTGAAAAGTGATGGCATCGTGAAATTTGATGAAAGTTACGATTGGGCACATGAGCTATTAACATATTGTATTCGACCTGATAATCAAAGTTCAATATATAGTGATGATCAATTCAATTCACATCTACTTGATAATAAAAAATACACTTTCGCCGAATTAGATGCAAATGCAATCTCGACTACTCAATTATTCGAATGGTCTGCACCAATTGAAATAATTGAAAACTATCAAATGTATTTAGAAAATAAGAATAATAATATTATTCTAAAGAAATTAAATACAGATGAAAAATATTTATTTTATAATTGCACACAACCTTGGTATGGATCTCGTTGTCAATATTCATTTATGTGGAAACAGAACACATTGGAACTTTATATTGATCGAATATTTTCTGATGCGCATCTTTCTCCAACTTTACCTGCATGTTATATTCATTTAAATTGTAATCGTGGATTATCACGAGTATGTCTCGATTGGCGTGAAATATGTAATGATAAAAAAGATTGTTTGAATGGAGAAGATGAAGAACAATGTTGGAAGTTAGAAACTAATCTATGTGATGATAATGAATATCGATGTCATAATGGACAATGTATACCAATCGAATTTCAAAATGACGGAATATTAAATCCAGATTGTATGGATCGAACTGATGAATTAAAACCAATTAGTTATCCGAAAAAATGTATACATGATCCTACATTCCGCTGTGAAGAAAGTTCATGTTATCCCTTCCCAGGCAACAAACAAACGTTTGCTTGTGGTGACGGTGAATGTATTAATCCTAATGAAAAATGTAACAATAATCGTCAACAATATGCACAAGTTCCTATTCTTCCAATCGATATGAACGCAGCATGTTGGCAAGCAATGAATTGTTTAACAGGTAAAAAAGAAAGAAATGAATGTTCTTGTATTGAAGAAGTTCAGATACCATGTATATCATTAGCAGTGTCTAGATGTCCAGAACTTTTCATTTTTCCAGAAACATCGATTCTATCGGATCATGTTTATTTGATGTATCGAAGACCTTATAGACGCGGAAGAGAAGCTATAATCGAGCCTAGTTATATATGCTTTGATAAAGACTTATGTACAGTACCACATACGAGTATATATGAAATTTTGAATTATACTTGTATTGATTATGATGAAGATTTTGGTCGAATGCTAACGCCCTATCCAGGATGGAATTCAATGGTAAGATTTATTCGAAATGTTTTCTTGAGGGTATGCACATCTCCCATGATTGAATGTTCTCATTCATCATTATATCGATGTAATTATACATCAAAATGTATTTCAATTTATCGGCTTCGTGATGGTATCGACGATTGTCAATTAAATGACGATGAAACGTATACAAATACTTGCTCAATAAATTGGAATACTATGGATCGTTTTAAATGTTCTGGTGAAAATCTATGCTTGTCAAAGTTGACAATTCAGAATGGAATTAGTGAATGTTTAAGCGGTGAAGATGAAGTGAATGAAATTGAACGTTACTTACAATATCATATTACAATTCAACATATTTGTGATGGAATTCAGCATTTAATACCTATCGAGATTAATGGTCGAAATGAAACAGATGAAACTGAATGTGATCTGTGGAAATGTGATAACAGTTATACACATTGTAATTCAGTATGGAATTGTCCAAAAGGTGAAGATGAACTTGGATGTAAGAATAATCCAATCATCTGTCCACCATTACATCATCCGTGTATTTCACCCAATACAACCGAATTATTTTGTTTACCAATTACAAAAATTAATGATGATTATATGGATTGTCTGGGCGGATCAGATGAAAGAGAATTATGTCGATCTATGTATCCATGGAGGAAAACATACCGTTATCATTGCTGGGATCGCAATGAATGTGTAGAATTAGAATCTCTAAAAGAATGTAAAACAGAAAAAGATACGAAACTTTGGAATATTATTGGCACTATGGAAAAATGTACCAATGAACTATTCTCATTTTATTTGTTACCTCTAATTAAACAACATCTTTGTAGTTTGATAGATTTGACCTATATTGACTTTCCAGGTTACTCACTTTTAGATATAAGCAACAAGATAAACAATAGTAGGTACGTTATTAGAAATCTTCAGAGAGAAATTCTCGATAGAGTAAACTCGTCGTTATCATTAGAGAGAATATCAGATTCTTCTTTACAAATGGATTTTACAGATAATTTAAACCGTAATCAAATATCGACATATATTCATCCTATGACTGTAGTGAAAAATGACCATAAAGACAGATATATATGTCATCGAGGAATCAGTATACATTTTAGAACCTTAAATAAAACAGAAACAAAATGTATGTGTCCACCAAGTACTTATGGATATTATTGTCAATATCAAAGTCAACGTGTCAGTTTGACTGTACAAGTTCGCAGTGCTACCGATTGGTTAAGTATGTTTACATTGGTCTTCCTACTTATCACTGATCAAAATGAAATCGAATCATATGATTATCGTTATTATAATTCGATAACTGATTGTGTACTTAAGTGGAATATTTATTTGCTTTATCGAACTCGTCCTAAAGATCCGTCGAAGAATTACACTGTACGTATTTATGTTTATAAACGTCAAACAACTGGTCTTGAATATCGAACAAGTTGGCATTATCCACTATATTTTCCTTTTTTTACCTGTACAACGTATCGCAGTTCAAATTATTATTCCATCTTTAACAACAATTATTCAAGAAAAGATTTGTTCACTTGATTGTAATAAACATGGATCCTGTATAGTTGCAAATATTAATACAAGAAAAAAAAACATTTCTTTGTCGTTGCGATCCTGGTTATTATGGAATTTATTGTCAATATACTCAAAATTTATCCATGGCATTTTCATGTGCTCCAAATTCTTTATGTCTTCAAAATTATCCTACGAATGAATTTTTGTAAACAATGTAATCGGCTTGTAAGAGTGTGAATCGAAACTGATAATGTGCAAAAATAGTAATGACGGAATTTGTATTGCATAATGAAACATAATAAAAAATTTTCGTAAAGGTAACTCACACAAAGATCCACGATAATCCTCAGGACATAGACATGTCGACCCATGCCATCGTTGTCTTTCATCATATCTAGTACATTGACCACCGTT